TCTGCAGCTTCTTTTCAGATTCTTTGCAAAGATAGCCCATGTTTATCCTTCCTTTAAAGTGGCCATGTAATGCTCTGAGGGCTTTCCCCTTTCATTTAAGTTTTCACATGGCTTTTCACGCATGTAGACGATCTTCAAAGTTACAAAACCCAAAGCTTTGTTTTCCTATAGAAAACCGCTCTCTCTCCGTGACTTATTCAATTCTATTTTTTATACAGCACCAAATCACAACAACAGTAAGCTCAAGTCACTTTACATTGGAAGGTTAAGACCCTACAATAATATATAGAAAACCCCAACAATCTGACGACCCCCTATGAGCAAGCACTTGGCAACATTGGGAAAGAAGAAAAATTAAATTTGATTCTGGATTATACGGGGCACCAATGAAGACAAGTCAACAGTCACTTGATGTCAAGTCAAGTCCTGCTATGAAGCCTCTGAATGAGTGTTTTCGTCAGCTCTATCTTGTGTGTTTTGAAATAGGTTGTGATGAGTTGGATCTGACAGTGAAACCACATGCTCAGTGGGAACGGACATGTAACTCACACACTGAGCCAATAAGCATATCCTGCATAATTCTCCTTTCTTACTCTAATCATGAACACATTAGGCTTCTTTTTTTTTATTCAACATGACCTGAAACTGGTAATTAGGCCACAAAGACATCAGGAAAGTGTTTACTGAGGTCACAGAGTAATTGAGAAAAATGTGAAGCAAGGACTAGATGGATGTTCCTGTATTTTCATGTCACCTTCAGTACTGTAGTGGTACCCTCACCGCAACTAGCTTTTTTTTTAGCATTACCTTAAGCTACATGGCTAAAGTATAGACCGTGCATTTAAAAACAAAAAACAAAAGGAAAAATAAACCACACACAAAAACAAAGAAAACTGCTCCACCACCACAGTAAGGTTAAAGAAGTTCAACTTGGTTCTCAAATTTGTGGAGGAATGAAGTACGGTAAGCAGTTTCAAAAATAGTAACATCGTTGCAAGAAAGTGTTGTGCACTGTGTAACAGAGAAACTTCTCTCATAAGTCTCTCTTTGGCTTGGTACAAACAGTGACTTTATTTTTGCAAGGTCCGGATTACGCAGGCATCCTTCAGGTGGATTTCAGAGAAATACCAGTAGAATCCCTGGTTTCTACAGCTGCCTACTTCAGTTGTCTATTATCAATCAGTCATTCAATCAATCACTTCAGAGGAATCCTTCACCTACTGACCAGTTGTGGACTGTGTGACTGGGGCCTTCGTCACATGGTCTTACATATGAAAAATGGTAGACAAGGTAACATCACACAGTTATTTGTCATGTCTACAAAACCTCAAGACCTATACATTATGTAACCAGTCTTGCAGTTTTTCCAAGAACTGAACTGATCAATCAGCACAAGCTGGGATTTCAGGATGCCTCAAGAAGTCCGTCTTTGGTCCCGTCTTCCTCCCGTCTCCACGAACCGCTCGCAGCACATGGCTGCCCCTCCCAGAGCCTGGTCCTGCTGGATCGTCTCTCTGTCACCCAGCGCTTGCTCATAGGGAGTCAATTGATATTTGGGGGTTTCTTTGTATCACCGTAGGTCTTTATCTTACAATATAAAGCTCCTTCAGGTGACTGCTGTTGTAACTTGCCGTTATGTAAATAAAGTAAAACTGAATTGAAAAGCTTTACACGGGGGATGAAGTGGTCTCTCTGAAATTTAAAAAAAAAGTGTTGTTTTTTTTAAAGTTAAATATTATTAAGCTTTACTAGAAGGACCTGTAAATGAAAATTAGAATCATAAGAAACTGCGTCAATGTTTTACTTGGTCAGCCCTGGATTAAGAAAACAAGGTTTTATATGGGAGTGTACACATACTGACATTATCTGTGGACGAACAAACAAAAGGACTCCTAGTGATCCTGGTTGCCAACATTAGTTTGGTTTCAATTTGAGTAAGTGGACATATATTCAAAAAAGCTATGTTGAGTACTAACAGCTTTGGGGAGTGACCCTAGATTTTGCAAAACAAAGTCTAAAAATGAAGAAGCTGCCTTTAGGCCCTTGGAATTATAGTTTCTGTTGTACTTTAAAATAATATATTTAACAAGAATGCAGTAAATAGGAGAAGTTCCCTTCTGTGTCCAGTCACTAATCTTTCCGTTTGATTTTCTAGTAATTAACAAATAAACCATTCAATGGGAAACTGCAAGCAAAAAGTACATTCTGTTACTCAATATTATTCTCACTTTGTTTGTGACCATTGAGCATACTGCATGTGTGCGTATTAGGTCAGTATGCGCATTCTTAACATGCAGAGGTAGAACAGGGGGTTTTCAGCTCACTGAGTGAGGTCAGTCTGCCTGAATGTCACACAATCGTCAGGAATTCACAGAGAGCTGAATGTTAGCTGCACACACCCCACAAACATGAAATGCAGCACAACAGAGCCAACAGAGAGGACACTACGTCACATGTGGTTTAAGAGCCACATCTGCATGAGTCGCCGCCCCCTTGGCCACATCAGAAGTGAAGGCTAAGCCTGGCTGCCACCTGGTAACCAGCCACAACAGTATGACTGTTTGTCTGTTATCATGGCCAAACACGACCCCTGATTCACCTACTCCAGCAGTAATTACAACCGAGATGGCTATGAACACCCTGGCAGGTGTTTATGTGTGTTTACGCCCCCGTCACACAGCCTTTTGCATTGTTAATGTATTTGTAACTCCCCTTAAGGATCTACATCTGGTGTATAAACAACATTTTCCATTATGGGTGTAGTCCGGGAAATCTTTGGCCTCATGGTTGTTGTGATCCCATCTCTAGTTTGTGCTGTATGATCTGTGCTAACTCACAGATCAAGCAGGTCCTCTGGAAAAATCTGACTCAGAGGAACAAATGGGAAGAATGCTTACAATCTGTTGATGGAATTCTCTACCTCGAGCAGTGAGCAACACCAGATCACTATACACAAACATAGTATTCAAACAGTGACCCTGAATATCAGGACCTGCAGGTGCAGGTAAATAGCAGTAGAGTAAACCTCAGTGATGTGATATTTAAAAATATTTACACTGACTTGTTTTTGTGTATTTAGGGAGGATGGAGGATGACTGCGATTGTTAAGCAACCAAACCCCAAAGGTCAAATTTTTTAAACAGTGCCTGCAATTACTAGGGTACCCATATTCTAATGAGACAGTGTGAAAGCAACATCCCTCTCTCAGATAGTAGCGACAGGAGGCGAGTCGTGACCCAGAGAGTTTTCGGCCTTGGACCGTGTCAGAAAGTGATGGTCGAAATTCCTCAGCAGCCTCGCCCCCTCTGTCAGCCCTTCAGCGAGCCTACAGGCTCCCTCTCAACCAACAATCAATCCTTTCAGCCTCATAAGGCAGCGAGAGTGTCTAATGGCTCCTTGAGGTATTCTCACAACAGACAAATGGGAAATGCGGCCCATCATCTCTCCACTTAAACAATTCGCAAATCCATTTCACTGCTGGTCTACTTTCAGAGATCAGAAGATTCCTACAGATATTTGACTGGTGAAACAAGTTTTTCACAAGTACTGAATTAGTAATGCAAATATAGAAACCTGCCAGCTGCTAAAAGTGTAACATAATTAGAAACTCAGACGTTGCGTGTCAAAGGTTAAAAGTGGGGCCAAAGTAGAACAAGAAAAAAAAAAAAGATGAAGCTGGTAACGTCAGGAGAACTGGCGTTGATAAAAGGCAGATAAAACCTGTAGTACCGATGAAAGGATTCATAAAACTGATTAAATTATTAAAAGAAATAAAATTAACCAGTTAAAGTCATCCACAAGCTATTTGATGACATCACTGTTTTTTCATGACTTGTGATGATCAAATTAGTAATACAAGGGGATGCCACACCAGTCCAGAAATAACAGTTATATTAACAGACACTGAAAAAAGCCTCAGCTACAAGTTACAGTCTCTATTAAGAGACAGTGTCTCCCAACACAAAACTAAAACAGAAAATGCACAAAGAGTCATGACAGACATGTGAAGCAGCTAAGAGGAAATGACATTCGGCCATTAACAAACATGTTGTATATTTTCCTGTGCAAAATTGTCAGGGATACATCAAGATATCGGCCTAATGGTAGAGGCCAGTTTGATCTGGTGTGTGACAAATGTTTAAAGACAGTTTAAAGTCTCCATCAGCACAGAGTTATTTCTTATGATGAAGGTTTGTTTGCTAGGTAAATAAACACATGTTTGAATATGAGCTCATTATCAGCATAGAATTTCCCAATCAGGAGATCCCTAAAGATGTACTGATTGTCCAACTGTTACAGCATTTCTCAACTTGCACATGTCTAATCAAACAGTTTTCAGACCTGATCTTTCCGCTTCCTATACCTCAGTTTTTAGTTTTTGATATAAAACGATAAAGTGTACCAGTATACCAAGTAATTATACATCCCTGCAAGTTCAGTTTGTCACACTGGAGGATCACTAGAAGTCAGCCAGGCCAGGGCTGAGCACACATTGTACAGGGAGGCCTGTTGACTCTACCACTTCAAAGCTGGAATGAGTAGCCTTGGGGCAAAAGTTGAGAAGGTAATGTTAAGGCTTAATGTCAAAATGTCATTAAATAACTCCTCCCTCCGGCACACATACTGATAAAAAAAAAGACCTTGATTTAGACGAGCAGGGCGGCGTGGTATTGCCAGAGACGTTCGCTTCACCTCGGAGAGGGAGAGTTAAAAAGTAGGTAGAGTTAAAGGCTAGCGATGTCCAGCTGCTAACCTACTAGGCTGCTTATTTTACAACAGTGTGAGGAGAAAGTCAAGTCGGTACAACATTCACTCTTTCGCTCGTCACTGTAACATTTCTGTCAGGTATTCGCAAGTTTCCCTGGATAAGAAAGCTACATTGGACAAACAGCCAGCATAAAATCTCTTCGTAACGTTGACTACCCCTCCACCCTGCTATCCGCTCCAAACTGGGGGCAGAAAACCCACATATGGAAAAAAAAAAAACCCTCATAACTTACCTAAATCGTCCATAGCTGCTGCCTAGTTGTGGACTGCGTCAGTTTTTTGTTTCGCGACCTTCCGGATGGTTTGTGAAATCTGACTTTTCCCCTTCAAACTTCACCAGCACTGCTGCCCTGGAAGTTGGTCAGTCAGGATGGCTCTCGTGAACGCGCGGCAGTTTGTGTGTGTGTGTGTGTGTACCAATGTGTGTACTTTTCCAGGGCGCGCGCCGACTGAATGGCGGTGATGAGGGACATCTAGCGGCCAAACACCGGAATTACACGTTTAAAATAAATATCTCCAAATACCCAAATAATGTCATGGCTGTATAAGCAACCGTGATTTTTTATAAACCTTCTAGATCATGTAGTGCATATCTGTTCACATAACCTCGGAGAAGAATAAACTTTATACCATTAGAATCATGAAAGGCACAACAAATCAGACTGCATACTCAAGTTTTTGGGACAAGTTTTAAGATAAAGATCAATGCATTTATTATAGATCATAAAATACTTTGAAGTATGACCATAACTGTTATCAGACCCTTCCCCAAAGGTTGGTACACTGGGACATACAAAAATAAAGTAAATGCACCTTCAAATGTGTCTTTTTTTAGATGGCAAATGACAACAAAAGCAGCTGGTCACACACTTTTGTATAAAGTGTAAAAAGTCTACATAGCATTTCAAATTAAAATTCCATATAAACAGTCAATAAATACTTCAATGATATGAAATGGAAAGATAAGATTTGATCGCTCTCCTATAAAAGACAACAAATGTCATTTATTCTAAAGGAAAAAAAAACATTATTTATGATTCAAAAGTCTACTGCTTTCAGCTTTCTCTCCTCCTCCTCTGTAAGTGGCTGCTGGGAGAGGATTTTATCATGGAAGCGGTGGTGTTTGCCTATTCCCAGCTTTGGCAGACCTCGGTTCAGCCCCTCCAACAGCACACATGCCTTACACAGTTTCTGACTGGAGATGTAGCCACACCGGCTGCAGGTTCCCTGGACAGGCATCTTTACCCCCTCGCGCACAGACAGGTTCTCACCGGAGTGAATAACGTCCATGATCGAACTGGGCCTCACACTCTCCAGATCCTTTAAATAGGTTCTTGCATAGCCACGGTAAGCATTAGGAGAGTAGATACACTCAGTAGAAAAGTAGTCTAATTTCTTGAAGTAAGCATACAGAACAATCTCTTTTTCATAAGCGTATTTAAGGGGCTTGCAGCGTGGCACGACCCCTTCGTTCTCGCTGTCCGTTGAGATGGTGGTGCAGCGGCGCAGCCGAGCTATGTCCCCTCGCAAGACGTTCATCAAAACAGTTTCTGCCACATCATCAGCATTGTGACCTGTGCAGAGGGGAAAAAGAAAAGAAAACAGAGACATCTC